TCCACACCCTCTCCTGATATCTTGTCGCCCAAGAAGACAACCTCCCTGACCCCAAACTGGCACTTCTCTTTATTAAGCTTCAGCCCGCTCTCCCGGACCCTCTGTAAAAGCTTCGTAAGTCGTTCGTCATGTTCCTGTCGTGTTTGTCCCCACACCACTATGTCATCAATGTAGACTCTTGTGCCTACCAACCCCTCTGTTATACGCTCAACTGCCTTTTGAAAAATCTCTGGTGCTGATTTAATACCAAATGGGAGCCTGAGAAAACAATACCTTCCAAACGGGGTGTTAAAAGTGCATAGTTTGCTGCTTTCAGCCTCTAACTTAATTTGCCAAAAACCCTGCGAGGCATCTAGTTTACTAAAATACTGAGCGCCTGCCATTTCGCTGATGATCTCCTCTCTCTTAGGAATCTGATAATGCTCTCTCTTAATATTTTCATTGAGATCTTTGGGGTCTAAGCAAACTCGTAACTGCCCATTTGGCTTTTTTACACAGGTGATTGAATTTACCCAGTCTGTGGGTTGTTCCACTCGCTCAATGACCCCTAGTTGTGTCATCCTGTCCAGCTCTCTTTTAAGACTGGCCCGCAGTGCAACTGGCACTCTCCTTGGGGCATGCACAACAGGCTTAGCGTCACTCTTCAGTTGTATTTTATATGTGAATGGCAGGGTGCCCTGTCCTTCGAAGATGCCTGGGAATCTGTCTGCAATGTTATACACCCCTGCCTCTTGTTCGGTCCCATTCACAGTGTCTTTATTGAGCTGATATATTCTCCTGACCAAACCAAGATCCTCACAGGCCTTGTCTCCCAGTAGTGACTGTCCCTTAGGCACTACCACAAACATTATATTGTGCACATGACCCTTTATATTCACCTTAAGTCTGCACACGCCTTCTGTTTCTATGCTTTGCTGGTTATATGCCCTGAGTGCAACTGTATTTTTTCTTATCTTAGGTTTGTCTTTAAGCTCTCTAAGGTCATTAACGTTTATAATATTCGCCTTTGCCCCATTATCCAGCTGAAATGAAATCAGTGTCCCATTTACCACAAGTGGTGCAACCCATTTATCTCTTTTATCTGCGTTCCCAACTTGATGTACATCAACGTTCTTTGTTGATGTATCCATCCCTTCTTCCTTGTTGACCATACTGATAAAAAGTGAACCCCTATCATAACTTTGGTCATCACTATCATTTTCATCCTGAACAGTATGTACGTTTTTATCTTTAGACATACACATTCTGGCAAAATGATGTAACCCTCTGCATTTTGAACATGCTTTCCCGAAAGCTGGACATTGTCTTGGTTTATGATCACTTCCACATCTTTTGCAGCTGAACATGCCATCATTCTTGTTCCTAATCTTGAACTTAGCTGTGCGCTTCTCTCTGATGGAGACCGCGTCCACTGCCTCGCACAGCTGACTAGCCGCGGCCGCACCTTGCTCTTTTTCAGCGAATGTCTTCGCATGTTCTCCTGCCATCTCATTGGCTTGACAAATTTTTACTGCCGTTTCAAGTGTAAGATCACTTTCTCTCAAAAGCTTTTCTCTTGTCTTTATATCCTTAGTGCCAAACACTATCTGGTCGCGGATCAGTGAGTCCCTCAGTACTCCAAAATTACACGATGCAGCTTTTATTTTTAACACTGTCAGGTAACTCTCAAACGACTCATCTTGCTGCTGCACTCTGGATCGAAACACGTACCGTTCAAATGTTTCATTCTTTTTCGACAAGCAGTGTCCGTCAAACTTCTGCAGGACCACATCCAACTTGTTTTCCTCTTCGGTCTCAAACGTGAAGGTGTTGTAAACTTCCAGCGCGTCCGGGCCGGCAATGGTGAGCAACATGGCGATCTTCCTTTCATCCGGCTTCGCGTCCAACCCCACTGCAGACACATAGAGCTGGAACCGTTGCTTGAATGCTCTCCAGTTAGCATCCACGTTCCCTGTTAGCTTTAATGGCTCCGGCGGCTTCATTGCATCCATAGTCACGTAAGGTTCCTAACTGATGTCTATGTTACAGAAAAAGGGACCCCACTCCTGGTACCATGTAATGTTCGTACTTATGTACAAAAAGTAGGTCAAGTCTTATAAAGTCAAGTTGTTTTATTTACTTACATCTGTGTTCATTGTCACACTGTTTTCCGTCCCTATTCTCTGTCTCTCTTCCTCGTGTCTCTCACCCACCGAGACCCCTTGCATCCACCTAGTGGTGCAGCATATCATTACACACGCCTGCCTCCACTTTCATTTGCCCCACTCTGGACCCTTGAGCAAGGCTCTTAATTCCCATCATCTGCTCCCTCGGGCACACTAGATGGCAGCTCTCTGCTCCACACAGAGTGCTGTGGTAGCTTGGTGGTCTGTGGATGTGTCAGGAAGGGCACCTGGCGTAAAAACAATTGCTAAGTCTTCGTGCGAGTTAGAAGGGAGCAGCCTAAAGAAAAAAATTAAGATATTCATAACCACAATAGGAAATGTGGGTTTGGGCAATTTTTTGTGAATGAAAATTCTGTGACAAATTGATTAAAAACAATAAAAGGAGGAAAACATTGATCAGTTTGCACAATCAATTTATTAGCCTCTTAATTAATTCAACTTCTCGGCACGTAGTTTGATCTATCTCTGAAATCCACCAGAAAAATAAAAATGTTAACTCATTTAAGCAAGATCTTGACAAGACAAGAAGTACAGTTTTGCACACAATTGAAATAATATACTATAAAAGGTTGAAATAAAGTGTTCCACAAAAATATGGCGTCATTTTGGTACGAATTTAAAATAGTCTCGAACTAAGACAGTTTCTGCCTTTTTGTGTGAAGAAATTCAGGAAGTCGGGTAAATGTCCAACAAACTAGTTTCATTTTTATGTCCACTAATTTATTACAATTCAAGTATATGTTAAAAAATACATATATATTTTCCAAACGATATAGAAAGGACTTGGCATGTTGAATTCTGATCAGTGAGGGTACAAGAACAAATTATTCGCAAGAGTTTGGACTTTTCTTTTGTTCTAACTTTTAAAACACAGATTATTCTAAACACTTTCTTATAGTTCTATAAACTATAGTTTTATTTCAAAATGTAACAAACTATAATTTTGTATATATTTTTAAAACTAGGTTCAGAAATGAATTGTTTGTAAAGGTTGCATACTGTTGTTAAGGTGACTGTTGTGTTGTGTCCCTCAGATAAATAAAGTTATGAACTGACTTGTTATGTATGTGAATGTTTCTGTACTGTGCCCTGAGACGACTTCTGTTGTGACTTGGAGCTGTATTGAAGTGAATTGAATTATGTAGGGGTATCAAGCTGCATACACTAACATTTTTAAATTGCGCAAGTCTAATCCTAATACAAAAGTGAAATTCATTTTTGTAGGAACTTCTTGTTTATCTGCTCAAATTTTTCTGCAGAAACGTCTGAATTGTAGTAGTAAGTATTGTGACACGAGAGAACAGACGCAATGTAGTAGAGATGAAAGTGACAAACTATTACCAGCATTTGAATAGTGTTTAAGTTTTTAACATGTCAGCAACAGCTACATCTGGAGTTGCTTCTGTAGGTTCAGCTCCTGTCCGTCTGTCTTTCAGTCCGTCTTGTGCAATATTTTCAGTTATCCGTGTCTAAAATGTGTGTTCAAGCACATGCACCACAGAAACTTGTTCTGTAAAATGGGCTACAATTACATTTTTTTGGTGTGTGGTTCTTTTACAAACACTCTTATCATTAAATGTTGTAAATGGCATATTTTAAGAACTTAAACTACCACTAAACAGAAAAGACTTTTGCCAGCTTCTGTTTTGCCAGTGCCCGTTGGTGGTTTCTCAAAACCTTTATCCTTTCTGTATTTTGCACTATTCTGTACTTCATCCATATTCTTCAAACTCTGTTTACTTTTACTGCTCAGGTTTCTCAAACTGCACACACGAGTCTCAGAACTTAAGCATTTTTTTTATGTCTCACAACTGTACACTTTAAGTGGTTTCACCTGTAACACATGAGATATCTGGTTGATGCTCACAGTATGTGTCCAGTTTACTAATGAAAAGGTATGTTGCTAGCAACGCCGCCACCACCGAGCGCCGCAGTATGGCCGCACTGATGGGAGCTCCTCTTCGACTCGCTCTTTTTTTGTTCCTGTAGTTCTTGTTTTAACTTTTTTTGCACCTACATCGCATACCCACGGTACGGGTATGACTGCGACACACTTGTGGAGTTTTGTGTGTCGTTGCCATACCATCGTGGTTCATTTCCCGACCCCCCTCCGGGCTCGGGCTCAGGCCTGTTATGGTGGTCGTCTCCATGATCCTCCATTTTCATGCACGGACCGAACTCTACAGACCTGTTCGGCTCCCCGGGGAAAACCTTGGATGTTCTCTGTCAGCTGGACCTGGTTCTGGAGGGCAGCTGCTGCAGTCGTTTTTATCATCATGCTGCTAGTGGGGCCTGCTAGTGCTGCTAACAAGCTGCTGACCGGGCCTGCTAACAAGACCTGCTAAGCTGCTAACAAGACCACACTGCTAATAGAACAGAACCATGCTGCTGAAAGAACCTCACTGCTAACCAAATGGCACTGTAGTTGTATTTATTTTTCAACTTTGGTGTCTTGGTTTTTTTTTTATTTTAGTAGTATTTTTTAGTATGTTTTTTAGTATTTTTGCTGCATGCTTTGGTATTTCTTTTTTTTTTTTTTTTTGGTGAGTCAAGATGGTTCTTCTTTCATTGCATTGTTGACCTTGTGTTGATTTTGCATATGACAAATAAACCTAACCTGAAACTAAATATCCCAAGTGTTAGATGCACTCAAATATTTGCAATAAGATTTGCTACAAGTCCTCTTTGATATTCAATCCTAAACTAAATCTATTATGATTTTAATAGTTTTTTCTTATGAGAGATTAAACCATTAAACCCTGCAGAAACCCCCATTTTTTTAATGTAGTTGCTCTTTTAGTGCATTTATCTCACATGCCACCCTCTCTCTTGCAGTGAGGCTGCATGACAGCATTTCAGAGGAAGGCTTTCATTACCTAGTCTTTGACCTGTGAGTATATTCTGTGCACGCACACACAGTGACATTTTATCCATGCACACAACCGGAATTCGTTTGTGTATGCTAACAACTTCTTCCTTTGGCTTCCCCGTCTCATTCTGTCTTTGGCTCGTTCCTTCTCTTCCTCCGTCCCAGAGTGACAGGAGGAGAGCTTTTTGAAGACATTGTAGCCAGAGAGTACTACAGTGAGGCTGACGCCAGGTAAGCAACTCCTATGAAGCTCCTTTGACATCCTCTGCAAATGTACATAATAATCCTATTAAACATATGTATACCACACTCACCCATATGTAATTACACATCTGTGTCTTTATGTGTTCACTCACATAATTGGTTTGCTTGTATTCTTCTCAGGAAATGCATCTCCGTCAACAAGTGCTGTAATGTACCTTTCTCCTGGCTTTCATTAAGCACACTGACCATTCATGTTTTAATGTGAACGGAGTGAGCTAACATTTAGAGAACTAATCTTTGAATCACATCAGATAATTTATCACCAAAATACTGTCAGTATTTTTATGCATCCGCAAACTGGCAGCTTTAATTGACTTGAAATTATTTGCATATGTTTGGGATTTGTGTGGCATTAGGCACAATTGTGAGGTTTAATCAAATTTTTTCACTCTAATGGAAATTTTTTAAGAGGAGCTCATATCAGTTTGAATATTAAGATCCGTTACCTTCTAGTATACCTTTTTAGGGACGAGCATTTTAAAGCAAAAACTCAATTTCTCTGGTAATTATTTAATTTTTTTTATTTAAATATTCAAACCCCAGCCCACACCACCACACCCTGGCTTGGTTCTGCCAGTTCCATTTAGTCTCCGTACCTGCCAGCCAGCTCTACAAATAGCGATTCAGTCTACTTACACCACATGCTTATTTTGTGCTTAATTCTTGCAGGGCTAGTTAATGTAGCGCAACAAGTGCAAACAACAAACTGTTTAAAAGTAGAGACGGCATCTGAATGAGCGCTAATTCCAGCAGCTGTTTTTATGATTAAGGACTGTTGACTGTTTGAAGTTTTTGCTGAAAAATGACCGTGTCCGCACGGTTGAATAAAAGTTTACTTTGCTCACCTCAAGTCCTGCAACTGAAAACTCTTCTAATAAAATGGAGAACTGGCCTGCTGCTAGTACTTAGTCAGCAGTCTATTCAGGGAAAGACATAAGGAAATTTTCTAGGTTGTCCAGTAGACAACCGGCAGATTCTGGTTGTCCGCCAAAATTTTTGATTGTCTGCAACTTTTACGATAAAGAAAGAAAATCTTAAGAGCAATGTAACTTAATAGGTATATTGCACTAAATACAGAGTTTACAATTTACACATGTTCTCAGTCAGCCAGACTGCTTTGAATGTCCAAGTTGCTGAGTGGCAGACTTTCAGGAGCTGCTGGATTGGCCCTTCCTCGTTCTCCTCCTCATCCTCTTCCTTGTCATCAGACTTTGCAATAGAGGCACTCACAGCTTATTTGACATTTTCTCCACCTCGGACCCCCACCCCCAATACTAAACATTTGAGAGCTTTTTCCTGCATACAGATCATTTCTCAAAGGTTTTCACATAAATAGGGGTTATACTGTGTACGTGACCTTAGTAAAAGTACGCAGTATATAGTGTTCTTTAATGAAGTGTTGAAGTTGTAAGAAGACTAACTTACACCATCAAGACCAAGAGCATTCTGAAGGGAGACCGAGGTTTTATCAACTTTTCTATAGTTTACTTTTATGTAATTTCTGTGTTTTCATTTGTTGTCAGATATGTTTTAAAAAATTGTAGCATCTGAAGTCCTTTGCAGAGTATACTGTAAATTAACTTTACAAATAATTTTTCATCAAATTTCATGCTCAGTAATCCAGGTAAAAAGTCCAACATTGTTCAGTCAGGTCATCTGGACGATTTCTGTTTTTGTTGAGACATTTCATCCTTCATCCAAAGGACTTCATCAGTCCTAGAAGCCACAAACAAACTCAGCCCCACTAGCAGCACACTCCCATAGTGGACCTGCCAGTTTTTAACCTGGATTATTGAGCATGAACTTTGATGGTTTAAACCACTTTGGCTATGGCTGCCTCAGAGGAGTCGACGGGGGAGAGGGTGGGCCCCAGAAACCATTTTATCACCAGCAAACTGGTTGGTCCACTATGGGAGTGTGCCGCTTGTTGGACTGAGTTTGTTTGTGGCTCCTCGGACTGATGAAGTTCTTTGGATGAAGGATGAAAAGTCTTAACAAAAAAAGAAACCGTCCAGATGACCTGATTGAACTTTATTGGTTTAAAAATAAATACCGGTATTGTTGATTCGCCAGACTGACATATTTCCCCCATTAAATGACCATTTCATTCAAAGGGATTATACTTAAAGGATTTCAGCTCCTTTTTAATGTTTATTTTTCATATTTGCTCATTGATTAAATTGCATTTACCACAGTACAATTACCTCTCGGTGTGATTCTAAATATAGTAAAGTTAAGTTAATCCAAACGGCCACAGCACCTTGTTGTGTTAAAACACAGTATAGAATTGATATTTGCAGATATTTATGATAAACTACAAACACCTGAAACTGACTCTTACAGAAACAGATGTGTATCTTTGCTTTAATCAGAGGCATAACTATTTGTCTTCAAGTGTTAATATTTTAATTATAAGAATTATTTAATTTTGATGTTGTTGTCTTGGAGTGGTGGGGTTAAGAAGTATTGTAGGTGTTGTGTAAAAGCACCCAAATGGAAAAGCATCTTTGGGAAATGATTTTGTCACTACTAGGTGCCTAGACTGTCTCAGTTAATTCTTTTAATTCACCCATTTTCTAGACTTTAAATATTAAAAATAATCACTGGCATCCCTAAATCATTTTGTGATCAGAGTTTGGGTGACTCAATATTTATTTGTTTCTTGAGAAAATTGAAGAAAATTGCAAGAATCCCAGTGAACTTTATCCCCGTTAAATGACAAAGCTACTCGTCTTTTCTCCTGTGGATGTTTGTTGTGTCACTTACCATCTTGACAGGGTATCTATTCATTCAAACATGGGATGCTTTGGACGTTCTGATGTGCACACAAACCCACATAAACAAACTGACGTGGACTATAAAGACCTGACCTCTGACTCCTTTATCTTTTGAGATCTATGACCCCAGATAAATGAAGCCTGGTGAGACACTGTGCAGGACACTAACATGATGGGTCTTGTATTGACCTGTGGGGAAATTGTGCAAAACGCATCATGAGCTGATTAAGATGGTGTCAAGTACAATAAGACATTAGTAACAAGAGTGACAAATTCATTTTTAATGCTTTAGAGGGGGGTGTACTTGTTGCTGTGACTGCACAAAATAATCTCTTGAGTTGGTTATTTAACAATGCCAGATTTTTCCCGTTTGTCGAAAATATATGACCTATTAAACTAAACATAATCAGTGCTAATGAACTTTAAAACATTTGGTTGCGGTTTAAAAAAAAAAGAGCAACATATGAGCGTTAAAATCTCTGATGGCGTTCTCACAAACGTCTGCAATGGCTCTAGTTGTATTTTTATAATCACGATGAGTGATATTAAGGCTTTCCTTGATTTCTTAACAGCATTGCAGTGAAACCGTTTTCGTAGTCGCACCAAAATTCCCCCAGGCTTCAGTGAAATGCAGGACAGACAAATTTTGTGCAAGGTTCGTCATGTTTTTGTAATGAAGGCCAGCGGCTGACACGTCGCCCCGTTTGTCCTCTTTTCTCTTCCTCTCTGTAGTCACTGCATTAGCCAGATCTTGGAGAGTGTCAATCATATCCACCAGCATGATATTGTGCACAGAGACCTCAAGGTGAGTGGCTGCCCGTTGCCATAACAACCACACACTCACACACCTCTGCTCGTGGCCATGGCAACACAGATGGCTCTCAGTCTCCGTTTCTTTTTCTCTCTCTGCAGTTTTGCTTCTATCCTTCTTTTTTTCTGCATTCCCCTCCCTTTTTCCCTTTTTTTCCCCCCTCTGTTCCTCTATCTGTTGTCACATCTGTCATCCTGTCTGCCCTTGACCAGAATGTGCTTGTGCTCATGCATGTATGTGTTCACGTTGAGCGTAGAGATGATGAGTCATGATCACATGGAAGGGGTTTGTCTCACCTGTGGCAGGAAAACGAAGACGAGGACTTAAGCATGACATACGTGCAGAAACGCACACACATGCTCTCATAGTTCTGCTGTGAGGGAAGAGGTGAGGGCAAAGCCACAGGAGTTGCCACGGCAACCTGAGTGACATCACACCACCCATGGAGCCACATGGGAGGGACATCTCTTGTCCTAAATTGCTGATTGGCTCAGAGTGCAGGAAGAGAGCTTCTCTACAACCTCCTTTTGATTTCTTTTTTTTTTTTTTTTTTTTTTGCATAACCAATTTTAATGTAAAAATAATCAGTAGACTGATAATAATATTAAACGGCTTCATTTTCATGCAGAAACTGCACTAAGTGGTGTTAAAATCTCAAGACATGCCTGGGATATATGCGTGGGCAGCGTTTGAACGTACGCACGCGTGTTGCGGTGCAGAGTAACACTATCACCCCGAGCAATGCCCGTCTGATTTGCTGTCCTTTTATCCTGAGTGGGCTTTTTACTGCGTCCCTTCATGTCTCGCTGCCCAAACAACTGCCATTTAGAACACTGCCACACACGCCGCCTCTCGCTAAGTACATTTAGCATGCAGTCTGCAGCTTTGCCGAAATGACTCCCGAGTGGTTTCCATGGCTACGAAACCATGTCCATATAAGGTGGTGTGGAGATTGTCAACTACCCATCCTTTCCCTACCTTCTCTGTATTTCTGTCTCTTTCCTACGCCTTCACCCCACCCTCGCACAATCTGTGTCGAATACATAAAAAAGGAACATTTCTAAGAAACGGCTTCACTTCCGAGTGCCTGTAATTATCTCTGTCTTGATCTCTTGTCCTACATTCTGCTTCATAATGTGTGTCAGCCTGAGAACCTGTTGTTGGCCAGTAAGATGAAGGGAGCCGCAGTGAAACTGGCAGACTTTGGCCTCGCTATCGAGGTGCAGGGAGACCAGCAGGCTTGGTTTGGTAAGAAAACGCACGCAGAGACGAACTCATATCAAATGTGTAGGACCACTAACTGATCAGTTATTCAGTTGAGCACTGGATAGTTTGGGCACTGGGTCTAAATTACTTACTACTTTCATACAGCTGATTGAAAAGAAACGCATCTACTGCACCATAAAAGTTAAAACAGCTAAGGGGGTGGAGGAGATCACAGATCATGCAGTGCAGAAGCTGCGTTGCTGAATGACTTTGCACAAATTTGTTGAAAGAGCAAAAAGTTGATTGTTAAATTGTGAACAAACTAAAACAATCAGAACAAAAGCTGAAACAATCTGAACAGATGTGCAAACCAGTAGAACAAAAGCTAAAATTGGCAAAATGTGCAAACTTGTGGAAGAACACTTAAATTGGGAAACCCGTAGCAAAAAATTTCATGGAGCAAAATAAGACAAAATGGTGCACGTTGAAGCAGGTATCAAAGAGAACAATGTTTTGAAGAAATTGAAGAGTTTAATGTATTTCAATAGACGTTTTTATTGTAA